GCTCACTTACTCATCTTTTTTTTTTTTTTTTTTTCGGTCATGGGGCTTGAACTCTGGGCTTGGGTGCTGTCCCTGCGCTCTTCAGCTCAAGGCTAACGCTCTACCACTTGAGCCACAGCGCCACTTCTGGCTTTTTTTTCTTTTTTGCTTATGTGGTACTGAGGAATCGAACCCAGGGCCTCATGCATACAAGGCAAGCGCTCTATCACTGAGCCACCTTCCCAGCCCTACGCTAGTATCATTTGTGATAGCCCCAGACTAATAGCAACCCAAATATCCTCTGTAAGTAAATGGCTAAATAACTGTGCTTATATACCCCTACCATCACACTCAGCAATAAACAGGAGCCAACTGTTGATGGCCTTAAGGAAATGTTGCCAGTGAAAGTCATCAGAAAGGTACATAGTGTGATTTCCCACACACTCCAACATTCTTGAAATGACAAACTTACAGAGATGCAGAATATACTAGTAGTCACCAAGGGAGCTGTGTGATGCCAGTAGTGATAGTGGTAGTGATTTCTTTTTTTGGGGGGGGGTCCGGTCGTGGGGCTTGAACTCTGGGCCTGGGCGCTGTCCCTCAGCTCTTCAGCTCAAGGCTAACGCTCTACCACTTGAGCCACAGCGCCACTTCCAGCTTTTTTCTTTTTGCTTATGTGGTGCTGAGGAATCGAACCCAGGGCCTCGAGTATGCAAGGCAAGCGCTCTACCACTGAGCCACCTTGATAGTGGTAGTGATTTCTTAAATCCACCATAGGATACTGTTGTCTAAAATCATACACAAACATGGAGACCTGCATGGGAACATGCATGTAAGATTGGCAAATCTAGATGAAGCCAATTAGTTCACTAATATCCTTGTCTTGGTTGTGATGATTGACTGTAGTCAGGCAAGTTGTTGCTGTTGGAAGAAATTGCATTGAATGGGGGGAACCACCTTTTGTTGTTTTTTTGTGACTTCCTATGAAAACAAAAATTTTGAATAAAGTTATAAACATTGAGGTATACTTACTGAGTCATCTTTAGTGTAACTTACATAAATTGTATCAAGTCACATATACAAAATAGTGATTTTTATAAATAATAATAGTATAGTCAGTTCAGAAGAAAAAAATCGCTCAAAACATGTTTCTAGCAAGAACAAAACAATTGAAAACTTAACAATGAACTTTTAGGCCAAGGGTTAGCTCGGTGGTTCCTGCTTAGCACGAGCAAAGGCCTTAAGTTCCAAAAAAAAAAAAATTTCCAGCTGGGTGCCAGTGGCTCACACTTATAATTCGAGATGTCTAGGAAGCTGAGAAGTAAGGATTGTGGTTCAAAGCCAGCCTGGGAAGGAAACTCTCAGACTCTTACCTCGAACCACCAAAAAGCCCAAAGTAAAACTGTGGCCCAAGTGGTAGAGCACTAGCTTTGAGCACACAAAAGCTCAGGGACAGCACCCAGGCCCCTGAGTTCAAGCCCCAGGATCAGCAGGTACACAAAAACAAATTAAGGATTGGAGGCATGGTTCAGGTGGTGTAGAGTGCCAGCTAGTGAGTGAGCCATCAGATACCAAGTTTGAGTCCTGCTCTTGGTGCAGGGGGTGGGGGAGTTAATTCCTTTAACACACTGATTTGTTTAGCCTGCAGTTGTCTTCATAAGCCAAATATTAGAAGTCTTTCCCACATGTTTTACAACTTTAGTGATTGTATTTCCGGGGATTTTCAACCATCTTTGCTCATCAGTGCTTCATCCTTCAGATTACCTGCCATTGATGTAGCTCAAGACTACCCTTCAGACCCAGGTAGAGGGCAGTGAAAGGCCTTGTGTGTATGGGAACTCATTGCTGCCCCTTGCTAGGAATGCCTATGATTTACTTCTCTATTTCAGGCTTTTTTTGTTCGAAGCATTAAACTAATAACCATGGCATACTGCATACACTTTTTTGTGTGTGTCGGTCCTGGGGCTTGAAGTCAAGGCCAGGGTGCTATCCTTGATTTCTTCAAAGCCAGTGCTCTGCCACTTTAGCCACAGCTCCATTTCCAGCTTTTTGGTAGTTAATTGGAGATAAGAGTCTTCACCAGGGCATGGCTTGATGATCAGCTCAATGAAATATCATTTAGGAACATGCTTGTTTTCTTTTGTTGCACCCTGTAGTCTTTCCATATGTTACACATGTTGTATTTTGTAATTAACAGCTTGCTGGTGAAAAGGACCTCTCGAAGTGTTGGATATAGGCCAGACTGTAAGTACATTGCTTTTTACTAATCATTTACTCATCTTTTTTTTTTTTTTGGTTAGTCATGGGGCTTGAACTCTGGGCCTGGGCTCTGTCCGTCAGCTCTTCAGTTCAGGGCCAGCTCTCTACCACTTGAGCCACAGCACCACTTCTGGTTTTCTAGTGCTTTATTGGAGATAAGAGTCTCATGGACTTTCCTGCCCAGGCTGGTTTTGAACCGTCATCCTCAGATCTCACCCTCCTGAGTAGCTAGGATTACAGGAGTGAGCCACCAGCACCAGGCTCACTTACTCATCTTTTTTTTTTTTTTTTTGTCGGTCATGGGGCTTGAACTCTGGGCTTGGGTGCTGTCCCTGCGCTCTTCAGCTCAAGGCGAGCGCTCTACCACGTGAGCCACAGCACCACTTCTGGTTTTGTAGTGGTTTATTGGAGATAAGAGTCTCACGGACTTTTCTGCCAGGGCTGGCTTTGAACCGCGATCCTCAGATCTCAGCCTCCTGAGTAGCTAGGATTCCAGGCATGAGCCTCATCTTTAACCTAAAAAGGTTTATGTGAAATGGCTTAGAGCTACTTCAGAGAATATTTGTAAAGAAGGCACATTTGCAAGTATTAGATATGAAAGTAATGCTTTCTGTATCTAATGATAACTTGAGATTTTTTTTTTCAGTTGTTGGTTTTGAAATTCCAGACAAGTTTGTTGTGGGATATGCCCTTGATTATAATGAATACTTCAGGGATTTGAATGTAAGTAGTGCTTCTTTTTCTTGCTCTCATTTTTCAAAACCCACATAAAAATTTAGGCAAGGGAAGAATTGTTTTCTCCTTTCCAGCACCTCATAATTTGACCAGACTGATGGTTCCCATTAGTCACATAAAGCAGTAGTCAAGTACAGATGTCCCTAGAACTGGAGCTTTGCCAGGCTAGTATGACACTTCTTGCTGGCTAAAAATAGTTGAACAGCTTTAAGATACAATAACTATCTCATTACCGTTTTCGATGATAAATAGGTTCATAGAAAGAAATGATAGAGTGTGAGGCTTTTAATTCTGCTCTGCTTTAAATTCCCACCTCCCACTCTAGAGGTAGAAGAGTCCAGTGCATGTGCTTATGAACGTGGGTATGTTTGTCAACTTGGTTTACTGGTGTGAACATGGGCGAGTGTGATATATTGGTGAACATGGGTGTTGTGTGGCCATGGAGCGTTTATGAAGGTGAGTGGATGTGTTTGAGTGTGGTATGCTTGTGAACACGAGTGAATGTGAGCATGGTAGGTATGTGGGAACATGGGTGAGGAGAATTTAGGAAGACCACCCTGAGAATGCCATCTCCAGCAGCTTTCTCCATCTTGCTGAACTCCCCACTGTATGCCCATTCTAATAGGACCTAGAATTCTCTGCTGTATTTCTTTTTCACAGTTACATACTTGGGAATCCAAAAGCAAACTAATGGGACAAACTATTTATTTCTCAAAACACATTCTCTCCAGAAGTGACTGGCTGGGAGTCCAAGTATTGCATCTGTTTGTTTAGTACAATCAGGGCAGCATAGTACTATTCTAACAAGATAGGCAAAATGCTGTCCTGGCCTTTCATTTCACAGTACACTCTTCTAATCTGAGTTTCTGCGGTTTTATTTTATAGCATGTTTGTGTCATTAGTGAAACTGGAAAAGCCAAGTACAAAGCTTAAGACGAGTGTTCAAGTGGAGTCTGGAAACATGAGGAGTCCCATTGACGTCATCAGATGTTCCTAGTTCCGTGGCCATCTGCTTAGTAAAGCTTTTTGCATGAACCTTCTAAGAATTTTATCTGTTTTGTATTTTAGAAATGTCAGTTGCTGCATTCTTAAACTTTTTATTTGCACTATGAGCCTATAGGCAGATTACCAGTTCCCAGTGGGTAGATTGTTTAACTTGTGAATGGAAAAGTCTCTTAAACCACACCACTGTTAAATGATAATATTGAAATTGTATCTGTAAGAAGCATTTAAAAAGAAGATATATTAGTTTTTTAATTGGTATTTTAATTTTTATATATTTGGGGGAAAATGGAGGTGATTGACTATTGTTAATTGTACCACCGTGCATTTGGAACAGTCAGAGACAGTCAGTTCTCACCAGTAACAGCAGCCAGTTCAGTAGTAGTGACAATGTTGGCTCACTTGCTCAGATTGTTTCTGTGAATCTTGTCAACAGTTCCTTTCAAATGCAAATAAATAAAGTTCAAAAAATTACTACTTTTTGAACTCTCAAATGTAAAAGTCCTGAAAAATAAGAACTGTTCTCCTCCAAAGAAGCTATGCATGCCTACCATTTCCATCTATAAACTAACAATATATTTTTCCATTGGTTTCTATTTATTATCTTTTCCTTCCGTTTTAGTAACAGGTTTAAATTATAGTCTTTACCAATCACAGCAAATAATTATCTGGTAAACTGAAATGATGGAGCTAGCAAAGTTCCTATGTACTTCAGAGATATAGTATACATTTTAGGCACATGGCACACTGTTTTTGGTGCCAGTCCTGGGGCTTGAACTCAGGGTCTGGGTGCTGTCCCTAAGCTCTTTTGCTCAAGGCTAGAGCACTGCTGACTTTAATTGGTGATGAGTCTTATAGACTTTACTGCCAAGACTGGCTTTGAACTGTGATTCTCATACCTTAGCCTCCGCAGGCCCGAGCCATTGTCACCCAGCTACACATGACACGCTTTATGTTAAAAGAACACAGCTTTCTCTCGGAATCTGTGAAGTTATTCAGAACGTAATGCCAGCTACATCTCAACAGATTATTGCAGATGTGTGTGTCCTCTTACCTCTGCATAGACAATGCTTCCTTGACCAAAGAACAAACCCCCCCCCCCATTTTTTTTTTATTTTCTAGAAGCAAGAGAAAAGTTTTTAAACCAAAAGTCTAAGTTGTTTTCCTGTATTTCTTTTTGGTGAGGTATGAGCTAGCAACTTTGTGAGCAATTTCCCTGTATTCCTTTCAAAGTTCTATATAAGCTGGGCACTGGTGCCACCTAACTACTCAGGAGGTTGAGATCTGAGACTCATGGTTTGAAGCCAACTTGGCCAGGATAAGTCTGTGAGACTCTATGTCCAATAAACTACTACTAAGAAAAAACAAAAGCTAGAAGTGGCACAATTGGTAGAGCTAGTGCTCTACCTTGAGCAAATAAAGCTCAGGGACAATGCCTAGGCCTTGAGTTCAAGCCTCAGGACCAGCACCATAAAAAGTCTGAATATTAATGTTCCAGTCCTAGAACTTCCTAGTAGAATTAGGCCTAAGTCTTGCCCCACAAAATATCTGCCCACTGAGATCTGTTTACCTGGCTATCTTAAATGCTGCTGCACCCTGCTTGCACGATTGACACTCCTTTATTTGGTGGTATTGGGATTTGAACTTAGGGCCACTCAAGCCCTCTACCACTTGAACCACAATTCCAATTTTTTTCCCCCTAGAATTCTCAGAGTCTTGTGCTTTTGTATTGTCCTGTGCATAAACGTACCTATGCCTACTGTGTAGTTAGGATTACAGGTTTTACTACAATGCCCAGGTTACTGGTTGAGTTGGAGGTTTGCCAAGTTGTTGGGGTTCTAGGTATGTGCCACCAGAAAGTTCTTTCTTTCTTTTTTTTTTGGGTCCGGTAGTGGGGCCTGAACTCTGGGCCTGGGCGCTGTCCCTCAGCTCTTCAGCTCCAGGCCAGCACTCTACCACTTGAGCCACAGCGCCACTTCCGGCTTTTTTTTTCTTTTTGCTTATGTGGTGCTGAGGAATCGAACCCAGGGCCTCATGCATGCAAGGCAAGCATTCTACCACTGAACCACCTTCCCAGCCCCAGAAAGTTCTTTCTTTAAGCCCCATCTCAAATGGAAATCACTGAGCATAGTGGTGTACTCCTATCATCCCAGCTAAAATGGGATTGAGATCCAAACCAACCTGTACAAAAAGTGAGAACCTATCTCAAAAATGACTAGAGTAGAGCCAGTTGTTAGTGGCTTGTAGCTGAGGAGGCCAAGATGTGGGTCATGGTTTGAAGCCAGCCTGGGCAGGAAAGCTTGTGAGAATCGTCTAATTAACCATGAAAATGCCAAAGATGGAGCAGTGACCCAAGAGTAGACCAGTGGGGCTCTCAGTTCGAACACAAGTAAAAAGTGCTGAGGATCTGATTCAAGCAGAAGGGTGCCTGCCTATTGAGGACAAAGCCCTGTGCTCTGCCAAAACAGATTTTCATTTAAGTTGACTTAGGAAATAGAGAAATATCCCATCATTTTAGGAATACCACTGTCCAAGAAGGAATTTGGGTTTAGTAGCCTGGGAAATAAGTGTGTTGAACACTTTTTACATTCCTGTTCTGTCATGTACTATGATGCTTAGAATCTAAGTGTTGCTAGGTCTCCCTTTTTTAATTGTATATATCAAATGTTTGTAGGTAACTAGCCCACTGCTCTACAGTAGCTGGGAAACTTAATGTCCTGTGCATCTGAGGTTCTAGAAACACTCAAACCTCACCCCTTGTGTCTCTAGGGTCTTGTGAAGCTACAGTTCTACTTGTAGAAAGAAAGACAACAAAATAAATTTAAATAGTGATAAGCTGTGAAGAAAGTACAATGTGCCAGGGCCCCATTCTTTAGCATGGTTAGGGAAGGTCACCATTGAGCTGAGAAAAAAAAATGGAGGAAGCAGCCCTGGGGAAACTTGGGAGTGCATTCCTTGCAGTAGAAATTGCAGTACAAAAGGACCTGAGATGGAGACCAGCCATGTGAGGTGCTTGAGGTAGAGGTGTGAGCTGTCATTCCAGTGACCTTGAGGCTCAGGCTAGAAGTTTGACTTCTTTACACTCCAAGGTGAAAAAGGTGTTGAGGGTTTTAAGGTGGGAGGTAGAAGTGGGACTACATTTGCATTTTTTGCAAGTACCAAATGCATGAATGTCGTGAACTCAGAGCCTGGGCATTGTTCCTGAGCTTTGTTGCTCAAGGGTAGTGCTCTCCACTTGAGCCACAGCTCCACTTCTGGCTTTTTTGGTGTTTAATCGGAGATAAGGGTCTCAAAGACTTTTCTGCCTTGGCTTGGCATTGAACTGTGATCCTCAGATCTCATCCTCCTGAGTAGCTAGGATTACAGGCGTGAGCCACCTGCGCCCCACTAAAAGTTGAAGTTTTTTTGTGTTTTGCCAGTCATGGGGCCTGAACTCTGGGCCTGGGCGCTGTCCCTCAGCTCTTCAGCTCAAGGCTAGCGCTCTACCACTTGAGCCACAGTACCATTTCTTGCTTTTTCTGTTTATGTGATGCTGCGGAATCGAACGTAGGGCCTCATGCACGCAAGACAAGCACTCTACCACTGAGCCACCTTCCCAGCCAAAGTTGAAGTTTTTTAAGCGACAGAATCTGTGGCCATGTGACCACCACATGCATGGGACACAGACACTGGAATCCCTTCACTTCTCTGTGAGACTTCTAGAAATATCTCTCTCTCACATGGTCTTCCCTGCATACTTCCTGTCTTGTTTAGTGTGCATCATGCATTTCCAGTGGTTTTCATTTTTATTTTTACTATGAGTGGTTTTCTTTAGAAAGAGGATGATCTTTGAAAAATATAAAGCAAGGCTGGGTGTGGTGATGGGTGTTTGTAATCCTGGCTACAACATAGACTGGTAGGAAGAGCACAGTGTGATACTGGCAGCCAATAAGCTGAAGACCATATAAAAATAATTGCAAAAAGGCATGCCTAGCAAGTACAAGACCCTTAATTCAACCCTGAGTATTGCCAACACATCCCCCCAAAACAAAATCAGATCATATCCCTTAACACCCAAGAAAACACAGTGTTGTAAGCTCTAGAAACCATTGTGTGAATTATCAGCTCCTGCTCACATTGCTTAAGTTGTCCTTAGTTTACTCATTTCCCTTGCTCATGTCACTTCCAGGCACCTCATTCATTCATAGCATCAAACTTGCTGATCACCCCATTGCCTTAGGGCCTGGCTCTATCCTTGCCCCTCTCCCCCCATCAACATAACTACTTCACAGGTCACCTGGGTGAACCCTAGCCTGACCTCTAACATCCTCAAAGTCACTTTGCATTCATGACCTCATTTATTTTCCTCATAAGTCCCTAGCACTGTCAAGCCGCCAAGCAGCCTTAAGTTAGCAACACCTACGCCTGAGATTGGACTTGACCATTCTGCCACAGAGTTGCCCAAAGAAGCAAGGCCAAGTGGACATAGATTATGACTTAGCTTGACCAAGAAAATCATGCTGGTAGCTCCCTGTATCCCTGATCCCATGGGGGAGTCAGTTCTGGATTTGAGCTAAATGATTTTATGGCCTGCAGCTGTATCCTAAATGGGGTGGCAAGGTCAGGCAGGTGGCTAAGACACCCTCCTGGCAGCCCCCACAAGATAGAGATGTGGGTGACAAACGGCCTTGGGACAGCTCCTCACAACACTGCTTATGTTACAGTGTTCCGGGGAGGATCACAAGGCATTCCTCCAAGACAGGTCAGGCTGCAGTTGACCTTGTCTACTAGGCTTATGTGGAAACATCTGTAGCACATCCTCCCATACACTTTAAATCATCTTGAGATTACTCAGAATGCGTAGCACAACGTGAATGCTACGCAAACAGCTATTACACTTATTGTTTGGGGAATAATAAAAACTACATGCTCAATATACACACAATTTTTTTCAAAAGTTTTAATCTTGGCAGAACCTAGACTTAGAGACGGTAGACTGTACTTTTCAGGTTGAGAAAAAAAACTAGCCAGGCACCAGTGGCTCAGGCCTTTAATCCTAGCTACTCAGCAGGCTGAGATCTGAGGTTCAAAGCCAGCTTAGGCGGGAAAGTTTGTGACATTCTTATCTCCAATTAACGAGCAAAAAAGCAGGAAGACCTTGAGTTCAAGCCCCAGTACCAGCACACAAAAAAGATAGCTAATGTTTATTGAACTATGCAATGAAAATTCCCTAAGCACTTTTGAAGCCTTATTCCCCTATATGGAGGTTGATTTTGGTTTTGTGATTATTTCAACTTCACATAAAAACTTGCAGGTCCAGAGAGTCTGCATAATTTATCTGGATCATGCAACTAGTGTCAGATAAACCTGACAGTTTGTTATGTTTTTTTTTTTTTTTGCTGGTCCTGGGGCTTGAACTCTGGGCCTGGGTGCTGTCCCAGAGCTTCTTTTGCTTAAGGTGAGCTTTCTACTACTCGAGCCCCAGCACTACTTTTTAC